AAGGTAAGCTTGATGCACATGTTAATGCTTTCCGTGCTCGTATTGCGATCGGTGGTATAATTGACCCCGCAACAGTTGAAACCCATGAGGTGTTTAACCGCAAATAGACAACAAAATATGAAAATATGTTTTGTGATTGAGATGTTTGACTTCATTCTTATTTTAGAAAAGGGACCTAGCTAAAATTGGATATTCAGTTACTGGATCGTTGTTTAAAAGTTTCTTCATTCTCAAATTTGCAGCTGCAAGATGCGACCACTTAGTCGTAAAGTTTTTACAGGAGCAGTTAGAGCTTTTATTAAGAACAATTACCCTTGTGTAAAGTTTTCGGACGAAGCCGTTCGACTCCTAAGACTCATGCTTTCCCCAGTTGAATCAAACTCCAGCGAGCTCACCAGTCTTCTGTCCGAGGCGTTCATCGCCCTTCTCCAAGGTGGGCGGCGCCGCATCGAAGGTAGCCACGTTAAAGCATGGACAGACCTACTGCGTGAGCCGAGTGACGCCGCTGAGGATAAATCGACACCGATGGGAGCAGAAAAAACCGCTACGACCGACTCGCTTGAAGACTGCGTATCCACCCTGGACGCAGACGAGAAGCAGCAGCCACCTTCTAATGCTCGCGAGGAAACGCACTTCGATGCAGGCTCAACACGCGCCGAAGAAAAAGAGCCGACACCCTCGAATAATAACACTGCCAACAGCGACCACAGCGACAGTGAGAGCGACGTTATTTGGATCCCACCGCCGCGCGTAGCCGAGGCAAAGTCGACGCTGCGTGAAGCTCTTGGCGACGATAGCGGCAGTAGCGGCGAAGAGACGAAGACAACCGCGACTTTGGCAGCAGGGAACTACTACGTCCGCAACATCACCGATTTCTACGTCAGGGATGGGCAGCGCGTGTATGTTACAGACTGGGAAGCAACCGAGGAGCCAGCAGCCAACCTTCCTCCAAAAATGGTCGCGGCTTTCAATCGCCGTTGCAGAGCCCAGGAGGATTTTTTTGGATATAAAAAGGGCTGTCTCATTTCAAATGTAGGATATTTATCAGTAGGGACCACAATAAGCAACACTGTTTTCTAAAAAGACCACAAGAGTGCTGATTGGCTAATTTTTTAAGAGGAGATTCTGCACATGAAGACAGATCAACTTAGCATTTTCAAACAACAAAGAAACGAACGACCCTCGGAGTATGGAGAAATCCAAGCTCGACATTCCTGGCAGCGCTTGGTACATTTCCAAGATGAATTTACACCATGCTCAGTGCTGTGGAAGCGAAAACAGAGTATCAACCAGCATTCTTAAAGATCGTCCTGGATTTTGGGCGGCCGTTCTTGTTGGCCACAGTACCTCAAAGGCAAGAGTAATCCATAATTTGAAAACTGTCGACGTCTCCGGCCAACCTGCAACTGTGTATCGTGCAATTTCCGAAGCCAAAGAGGAGGAAAAACAAGATCCAAGAGAAGATTACTATCGATTGCCTAGCTTCTTAAGTCAATTTGCAGATAAAACCCTGGTTCTCGTGTGTGCTGTCAGTTGGATTCGTTTGGTCGATTCTACAGGGCTTTCTTATCACTTGGGAGTCTCGTTAACTTACAAGAAAGTCTATTGCCTGTGTGAGAATGCGACGGAACGCACATGAAAGATTCTACCTACAACGGGATATGTTTGACTCTGATTAGAAAAGATGGACAGAAGAAGAATGTTCCTGTCGCGGTTGGATTTATGCGCAAAGAAACTATTGACAACTTCGTATTTTTTTTTTGCAACTGCGTTGCAGGTGGCATCCACTTGGACGATCGTCCCACATTTTGTGACCGAGGGAAGCAACTTGAAGCCCAGCAAGTTCTTTCGCAGCATGGGGTCAAGGTGCATCTTAAATTCTGCTCTCTGCACATTCGCTTTAATACAATGGATAAATTTAAAGTTTTAAAGTTAAAACAGCAAATGTCAACGATGACATGTTTGCTCTCCAGGGAACGGATACTCTGGCACTATATGACAAAACTGTGGCTCGAATTGCGAAACGCTACCCTTGTGGTATTATGAAATCAGTTGGTGACAATCAAGTTGAAGAATTTGTGTGCAATTATCTCCAGAGCATACACCCGACTGATTGGGCCGTTGTAGGAAACCTAGAGCATCCACCTAAAGGAACAAAGCGGCTGGACGAGACCTAGAATAAAGTTCCGAAACACGGTGATCCCCTCCCTTTGTTTGGTGTACGCTCAACAAGTGGTGTCGAGGGTGACAACAACGGACTACTTTGGGGAGGTGTGCGTAACAATAATTTGCTGGGTTCTCTGATGGCATTCTGTGCTCGTGCTGTTGAGGTGGTTCAGAAGCGAAAACTACTGGTAAAGCAATGGGTTGAAGCAAAGTGTGACATCACACCTCATGCTAAAGCGCTATTCGACGCTGAAAAGCGTCACGTAGCTCGACTGACAGTTATTCAATCCTCTCCAACTGTATATTACGCGTTTGATGCCTTTGATAAACGAAATTCCGCGGCTGCAACGCATCTCGCAGAGGTGGATATGGTGAAGGGAACATGCACGCGATGTACCATATCTTATCAATTGAAATACCTTGTCGCCACATCTAAAAAGTTATTTACAACGTGGCAAAAGAAAAGACTGGTACTTCACCTCAATACGACGTGAAACAATTTCTTCACCGCGCGTACAAGGTGCCACAACTTTCTGCAGCTTTAGATCCAGTATGCATTCGTATACCTGTATACGACCAGCTTGATATTACCGACCAAGTAAGACCACCTCCTCTTTACAGACAAGCTGGAAGCAGACGTCAGCGAAGAAAAGATTCCGCGGACATTGTACGAGGCAGTAAGCGCAAGAAAAACAGGGGAGAAGGAAACTTTGCCTCGCGAGAACGTTCAATACCCCCTCGAACAGATTCAGTAGCAGCCGCAGCTGCTGAAGAAGACGAAGAGCTGCGAGACATCGACGCCTCCTTCGACAAGCAAGTCAAGGCCGTGACGGTAGTATCGAGGAGTGCAGTTAAATGCAGTATCTGCGGGGAAACAGGGCATAACAAAAAGACTTGTAAGTCTACAAACGCTGAGGTAGAGGATGCGACTATCGGTATCGTACCTGGGGATTACGTCGTTGGCGAAAGCTCTTTTGCTCTGTGTGGGATAGATCGACACTACGATACTGTTAGGGAACAGTAAAAACAAAGTATAAGCTTTCAGAAGTAACACGTACTTGCATGGTCTTTTAGTATTCACACTTACTTGAATGTTGTTTGCCATATATGGCTGTGATATCTAGTAGAAATTTTCGACATCACATAAGGTGTCAACGGATGGCAACCACAGCGAAGACGACAATAAAGTACCTGTTATTACGTGACTCGGCCTCTTGTTATCGATCAAAAGCATCAACGCACAACATAATGGGTTGTTATTAGTATTAAACATAGAAATAATTTCTCTCAAAAAAGTATATAACACGCACCACCCAACACTGCTGCTTCGCTTCACCTGATACGTGGCTTTATTGAATACATTATTGTAGACGACTTGAGGATGCCGTGCACATTTACTCCGAGCTGGACACCAACACTCTGTCTGTAGCAAAACATATTTAGTCGAAGCACAAATGAAGCGCCCGCAAGGCAGTGGCTCTTACTCCATTTACCAGCGCAAGCCAATTTCAGCACCATGGCTTTGCCAAATCGAAGCACGAGAAGATCATTCAATTCAGCTCCAATTCAGGACAATGGACCTGACTCAAGGTGACGCCATGTGGTTGCTCGATGGTGGGCACGACGTCTTTT